GACTGAAAGGGGTCCAAAAGGTTGTTATTAGCGAGGTGGCAACTCAGGCGGTTGTAGATGAGGCGTTCTAGGAGTTTAGAGGTGAATGGGAGTAAGGAGATAGGTCTGAAATTATTGAGGTTGGTAGGGTCCAGTGACGGTTTTTTGGGTATTGGGGTGACTAGTGCATGTTTGAGTGGGGTAGGAAAGATTCCAGTAGAGAGGGAAAGATTGAAAATGTGGGTAAGAGAGTCTAGGATAGAGCAAGAGGGTGACCGAAGTAGTTTTGAGGGAACAGGGTCCAGGGGGCAAGTGGTGAGGTGGGTGTCAGAGAGAAGCTTAGTAACCTCCTCTGTGATGACAGGGTCAAAAGAGGAAAGTAACAAGTGAGATGGAGGATCAGGTACTATAATAAAAGGAGCAGTTGATTGGACAGTGGTGATCTGATCTCGAATGTTATCTATTTTGTTTTTGAAATGAATGGCAATGTCCTGGGCAGTGAGTGAATTAGTGGGTGGTGGTGGTGGAGGACATAGTAGAGACTTGAAGGTAGAAAAGAGTTGACGAGGTCTGGATGAGAGTGTGTTAATGAGAGTGACAAAATAAGTTTGTTTGGCAGCACGGAGGGAGTTATATTTTATCAGGGCAGCTTTGTACAGGGTAAAGTCTTGCAGAGACCTAGTTCTCCGCCACAGTCGCTCAAGAGCGCCAAAACAGGGCATGCTGTGGTTGTTAAAAGGATACCTGAAGTAGGAAAACCCCCAATAATCCCTCACTGGAAGCACATTGTGTGTCTGCACATCGGTTTTCTATAACAGTGTGCCCGATGTCCTTAAACTGAGAGCAACTGAGAGTGTACAAAAATGGTGTGGCAACTTAAGCATTCTCTTGCCAGTTAGGTAAACACCAAATGCAGGCCTTTCTTAATCATAAGGCACTCATTGGCCAGTGCCTAGGGGATCATGGTAACAGGGCAGCAGTATGTAAAACATTTACAGCTTCTATTTATTGTGCAGTCTTTGTACACTTGAATGTTAAAGCATAACTAACCCCCAAAACAAAATTGTATATATTGCACTTGGCTGGCTGACATTGGGCACAGCTCTGGGTACCTGCACATTGGGTAAGTTTAGTGTGCCTGGTGCCCTTAAACTGAGAGCACACTGGTGTACAAAAGGCTTGGGAGGCGGCAGGGTCTTGACTGAGAATTTTAAGTAGATATATGTATACCAGGCCACCCATGGATTTAGGACATCAGGGGTGTTAAAATTGCAAATAGACCTGATGTGCACCTACCTTGAGGTGCTTGCAGTGTGTGCCAGCAGTGGTTTAGAAGGTTTTCTGGTAGGTAGAAGCTCCATTTACAATGTTACCTGAGGGTTTTCATGTTTGCATACATTCAGTACAAACCTTAAAGTGTGCATCCAATGGCAATGGAATTAGCTTGGAAAAAAGCGATATAAAAATTATAACCAGAGATATTAGTAAACATGTTAACACAATGGGGCTGATTTACAAAAGGCAAATAGTCTGCTTGCTTTGCAGTGGAATTTGCACTTTGCAAAGGAATTTTCCCTTAGAATGTGGTGAAAATTCACTTTGCCAAAAGTACCTAATCACCAACAAGAAAAATAAAAAAAACAGTATTTTGTCTTGCACATACTTTGATGAGTGATGACATTTCACATAAAAGGTACCCAAAAATGTGTATTTGTGCCCACCTGCTCCTCTACGTGATGAATGACACCATAACTTTTATCAAGTCCTATTCAATAGAATAGGAATAGAAGTTAAATTCAATAGAATATATCCTGCTAATTCATGGGAGTTTTTTTTATAATCAGTATGTAGACTTACTCAACTTTGACATGTGGGTTGGACGAGATCATTGAAGCAAACATTTAAATTAATCTGCATGATGTTGGTGGTTGAATGTATTCAGACACTACCAGAACTTTTTTCTTCAGAAAATGTATACTGTATAGCTTTTCTAACATTTGTATGTCATTATACAACCCTTCTAGGTACAAAACATGCTTAATAAAGCTCTTTAAGCCATACATGTGCTTTTGGAAATCACCTCCTCACCCTGCTATATCTTAATTTAATCTTTTTAACTAGCCTAAGCTGGAACTTAGTGTTGACATATAACAGGACACAACAACCTTTCTGTAAACAAGGTGCTCTGAAGCTCACGCTCAACTCTTATGAGGCTTAATGCACAATTATTTCTCACTTGATATTTAAGCTTGCAGCAGGTTAAGGCGTAATTCAGTATATAGACAAATTTTATGGTAGTTATAGCTAGTGTATCTCTAGGGATGCAATTAAAATATATTATAGACCAATAAATAATATAACAATGTTGTAGAAACGTTTTCTCATTCTCGCAATGTTTCTATAGCTCCCTCCAGCACTACATGATAACCTGAAACGAAGAGTTGTTGAACGGTACAAGAAATCACTTTTCAGTCTCCAGAGCAACCCTTGTAATCTGAAAGCAGAGATGCAAAAGGTAAAACTTTCTCTGTTGGTGATTTGGGAAAATCAACTGTACTTCTGCAGCGAAGGCACTGGTTCCTGCCATTCTAAATTACGTGTACTGTGATCATTTATACATTTTAAAATAAATATTATGTATAGATTCTGGTGGGAGATTACCTACTCGCCCACCTATCAACTGTTTTTGGTTTCCCCAACAAACAGTTCCAAGGCTGCTTCCTCTCAGAGTTGCTTATGCTGACCATAAAAGATCAGTTGACCATATAGTTAGTCGCTTCAAATGAGCCATTGGTTAAAAATCAAGACAACAGAGAAAAGATTGGTTTGGTTTAAATTGTTCAGATTTTCCACAATGCCTACGCATTCATTTTCAGTAAAAATGGCTGCTGATGGACATTCTCTTTTAATGCAATTGATTTCTAAAAGATACAATTAATTTACTGATTGTTATTTTGAACAATTGTATATTTATATGTATGGCCAGCGTTGGAAATGTAATAAAAGTGGGGCAAACCCTGTTATTTAGAATTCTCTCATAAAATTCTGAGGTCTTCCTCCAACCTGGTGTTGCGCTGCATTCACACTTGAATGTGCACACCATCCATGCACATGTGTAGAAATCTACTGTACAACGTGTGGTGTATGTTCAATCATTTTTAATGGCACTTCCATGCACATACATGGTCAAAACAAACGCAGTTGACTGTCTGCTTACCACAACACATGCAATAAAAAATAGTTTTTAAAAAGAAGTCACGTAAGCTTTTTGGTCGATGGATGTTCGTTGAAGGTCCATAAAATATAATGAGTATAAACATAAAAAAATGTTTATATAAGACTCAGCACCTCTTTGCATATAAGCATATGAACGTAGTTGCACTTTTATAATCTGCTCCATCAACTGTTTTAAACTCACTCCCCGCAGTGTAAATCCTAATTAGATTAAACAGCGCTGTTACTCTAACATTTTTGGGCAAAAGTCAACTAAATCTTTATCTCCATCTCTATCCACTTTCCATGACCACTAAAGTCTGCAGAGATCAGGGTATTAATCTTCCATTGTTTCCCTCTAGTAAAATTTTGGTGTAGTTCTCATATTTTACCACTAGGTGTCCCCACCTGTCCTTAGCTCCTTAATTAGAATTGTTTTTAGAGGAAGTTCTTCCCTTTATTTTTAGGAAGGGAGGAATCAGGTATGGCACCAGTGTGTCCTCTGCTATGGACTCTGGGCATCATCTTGGGAGAGTGTGTGTTGGATTGGACACAGAGTTCTCTTGAGATGTGGATGGCCATTTTTTAGAGACACGTCTTTGCCTGACGAAGGGGATCCTGTGTGACCCCAAAACGTTTGTTGCATTTATCATATGCTGCATCACGTCAATAAATATACTTTTTTTGCATCGCAATTGGGGTGCCGGTGTTCCTGTTTCTACGTCTTTACCCGACGTGACCCCATCTTTTCGATTTTACCAAAAATTGGGTAATAATAAATGCTTCATAACATAATGTAAGGAAAACAGTTTTTTTCAGCAATTTTTTCTTTATATAGTAAAAAATAGAAACCCAAGTTGTGATTAAATACCACCAAAATAAATCTCAATCTGTCCTGAAAAAATGATATAAAATTAATTTTGGTACAGCGTTGTATGACTGAATAAATATCAGTCAAAGTACCTCAGTGCTAAATACTGAAAAATGGCCTAGACAGAGAGGGAGTTTAATATTCCAGTCTTCATGTAGTTAAATTATATCACTATGCACTTCATCAGGTATTGTTACTGCATAAATGCAAAATAGCTCAAGCTCGCTGTATACAGATTTGTCTGATTCCTGTGAATTGTTAGAAATTCAAACCATGGGCCTTGGTGACACCATCTGGCTTGACAGACTTCTACCGAAAAATCGGCTTGACAGACTTCTACTGAAAAATCAAAGGATCCATTAGATAAAAAGTTGGCTGAGAAATGACTGCAGCCAATCAGCTATAATTACTGTTTGGGTATTTTGACAGTTGTGGGTGCTAGCTGTCAGAATTTAATAGCTAGCATGGGATATTCGTCCATCCAGCTGTTTAGCATGGATGGGGGAATCAAGTGATTTCTGTCATTCAGCTCGCTGGGCTGAATGAGAGAAATCTATACATGTATGGTAAGCTTAAAAGATGTAAGAAGCACAAGAGAAAACCCATTATGACTCTAGTTATGCAACTACTTAGCTGATGTTTGTTACTGTAGGATGCTGGAGTATGTGATAGTTAGAAAAACCACGTATGTTAGTGAACTAGCCATATGTATGCTATCATAGTTGTGCACATCGCTAAAAGCAAAGTGTGCATACAGTAAATACTGTCAGAGTACACTTTAGTTGTTTGATTGGTTTGTTTGGGGCTTTGTTGCAGCAGCATATGTGCCCTGCACTTTGTATAATAAATCTGGTCCTCTGTGTGATATAAGCAAATATGGAAATGTGGCTGCCTAAATATACATATGTCATTACAAACTATGGGGTCTATTCACAAAGCTGCCGAGGGCAGCCGAGTGAATGGCCGATCAGAAGTGAAGTGAGCCGAACACCGTTCGGCTATTCACTTCAGGCTGGTATGGCTGATTTCCGCCGTACACCGTCTGAAATCAGCCGTACATCGGCTTGCTTCGTGTGGCTTCGGATCAGCCGAACATGCTCAGCATGTTCGGCTGACCCGAAGTGCAGAAGGAGTTCGACTCAGCCGATCCAACATCTGGATCGGCTGAGCCGAACAGAAAAAAGGGTTAAATAAAACAAAGTGATACACTGAGTATATGCATGAACATGTATATACATAAACAAATATAATATTTATATCAAATATAAAGATAAACGTAAAAGATGACAACGTCCTTTAAATAAATAGGATTGTTAAAAAGTATATTTGTACCATATTTTAGAATAAAAAAGTCTAGTTGAAGGTAAATCATAATCTTAGTACGAATGTACAGCTTTGTCTAGAGAGGACATATGTATTGTATTCATCCCCAAGTGGCTGTCTTTGAATAGTTAAACGTTAAAACAATTCCCTTTGCAACCTTCATACTTGTGTGAATATATATGACATGATTGTCCTTGTATCCAAGGACAGTGTTGTAGTGATGCCTTTCACAGCTGACCTGCACGAATGTCTCTGAATGAGTAAGGAAGCATACACACATTAGCATAAGAAGCTGAATACATTATTAGATATATCTTACTTTCATACCATAGAACTTTCTGAGAAAATGTCAAGATGGCCAACCATATTTATTCAAAATATATCAATGAAACCAAGTAGAATAGCTTTTTTTAGGATTGTGTGCTAAATATAAATAACTTAGTAATGTGAAGTGATTTTTTTCACATTTGGGTTTAATTTTTATGTGTACTAGCAAATGTGTGCCCATTCATAAATTGAGTATTGTGTTGTATCTTTCTTTACTATATGTATTCAATATTTGTTTCACAGGGAAAAATTACAGAACAAACAGTCCCCAGAGCACTATAAGTAAACTAAAGAGAAATGGCAAAAAAGCTGCCTGCCTTCAAGCTCATTTATTCTCATTGAAACCTCAAACAAAATTATCTAATAAGGGACAATGCTCTCCTTTTAGTCATTCACTGGTGTGTGCATACTTCAGCTTGTAAACTACAGGCATTTTGAGTCTATAAAACGTGAAAAGGAGATACGAATTCTTGATTTTTAATCACATTCTCAGTGTTAATGGTCACCAGAGACACACCAGAGGTACACAAAAAAAAACTGGTAGAGGCTGTAAACCTTCCACATTCCTTGCAAACTAAAGAAAAGGTTTTAGCTATAAATATGATTTAAAGCAGTGGTTCTCAACCTGTGTAACCTCAGGACCCACATTTGTCTTTGGTCCTTAAGTCGAGACCCAAGTTGCTCAGCACTGGAATGCACGGCATTGTGGTACTGTGCGTTCCGGTGCGTGCGATCAAACTGTGGGTTGGAGGTGCGTTTGGGGTACTATTCAAATAAATGGCAATGCAGCACACCTCCCACACCAGAATGCGCGGTAGCTGCGATTGCATGGTAAGGTGCATTAATCGCACAAGACTGTGTGGCTAACGCACTGTAGTAGTGTGAAAGGGCCCTCAAAAACACTTACAGACACACACAATCTCACACACTCACAGACATTCTCACACACACATACACACTCCCCCCAAAAATTAATTTGTGTTCTTTTTTTAAGATAATGCCTGGAGTTCTTCTTTAAATAAAATGTGTTTCTTTATTGTTATTTATAGTTTGTTATGCAAATCACGGTGTATTTTATGAAAATGAGTCATTAAGAGTAGCAATATATCTATATTTCCTACTAGTATCCATGGCAGGGCAGTTGATATAGTATGTGTGAATTTTATGAGAAATTGTTCAGGTATAGGCACTTCACAACAAAATAGGCAAGTCACATTTCGGTAAAACAAAAACTTTACTTATTTAATCTTATGTCCATGGGAATATATTTAATAACCGCTACCAATTACAGTTTTGCCTTACTTGATGTTATACAGGCTCCCTTAAATCATTATCGATTCAGGCTTTCATCACATGTGAGAACGTACTGCTCTAATGTTACCCATAAAACTCAGAACCCTGTAACATGATTCCAATGTTATTTACTCACCTCAGCAACATCAGTGCCATACAGTGCTAAATATTCTGCTTCCATAATTAATATCATCCGGTTGTCCTCTGTAGAACACGTTCAATCAATCTGACACTATTACTCACTTGATTAGCAAAGTCAGCAACACTTTCATTATTAATGACTGCTCCTTCTCACTGTCCACCGGAGCTACCTAAAATGTATTCATTTGTCAATTTCTATGAAGATAAGTATCTCATTTTCATGTAAATAAAAAAACGGGATTTTTAAAATTGGCATATATCAAGAAGAGAACTAATAAAATATACATAATAAAATAAGCAAGAGTGTTTATTGGGGGGGAAATGTTTTTCTCCGGCAATGTAAAGCC